AACCCCAGAAGATTGCGCAACAGAATTGAGCAAAGAAAAAAGATGAAGCTATAAAAATATATATGTGCGAATTTAGAATGATAAAGAAAAAACATTATAGTAAACGTCAAGTAGATTCTCTTTTACCTATTAGGCCAGCATAAAATCCGATCTCTTTTTCATTGTCGGTTACATGAAAATCTCGAACCTAACAAGGAATAAAAATCAGTAATAGTGAATATATAAATGATAGATCAACTAACCAATAATTATTTTCATTACCATAAAATAAACGAACGGTAATATAATAGTCGAACACATGGGTTCGCTAAAAAGCACTATAGTCAGCACAAACAACGGGAAAAGCGGTAATGGCGTCTCTTCAATGATGCCTCCTTTTTTATTTCCTCCTTCACCGATTTCCAAATCCTCATCTAAATTTTTATTATTATTTCGTTTGTGATTATTATCATCCGCAGACGTTATGTAGCCATCATTTTTAGACCCATATTTTTCACTGTCATGATCGTTTTTTTTATCTATTATTTTGGAGCTCGTTGATCCGTCAAGATCATCTTGAGATGCAAGTGGATGAGAAGCTTTATAAATTTTTTGGGTATCTTGTGTATTATTTGGTTCTTTGCCCTTTGATGTGGGCGATGAAGAAAAATTAAGATTAGAATTTTTCCGTGTTAATTCCATTTTTGCAAAACACCGTATTTATCTCTATTGCAGAATCCCTCTAAAAAAAAGGTATAATAGGTTACAGTGGTAATAAACAATACCAATATTTTCTATGAATTACCAATAAATTTTTTAATAATGTATCAGGGTTAAAAATTTTAAATTTATTCTATATTTTCTATTTTGTACGTTTTTTATATTGGCAGTTAATACCAATTATATCATTCTAATTATAAACCCCTCTGCAAGATGAAACTATTACTAACCTTCAAAAAAAAGACCGTTATCTATCATTATCAATAATTCACGATATTTATGCTAAAAATTTCGATATCTGAGCCACATCACTTGAAAATTTAATGATCTGCGAATGCGTAATAGAAAAAATAGAAAGACATGTATTGTAAATTATATGTATAATACTGTCATCTAAATAAACGTTGATCTAAATAATATAAAGACTTTTCTTAATACATCAATCATGAATGAATAAACACATCAATAACGAATAAACAAACAAATCAAGTACCATTTTATCATTATACACGTACAAAAAAAAGTTTGGATTGATAATTGATATACACTTTTGTAGTTGTCAAAGTATATCATTACACAATACTCATGATTGTGGTAAAATGACCATTGTCAAAAAAAAATGAATTTTATGAAGCTGAATGGTCTAGCTAAAATAATATAAGATGCGCGGAGGGATTTACCAAATGTTGAATATCTTACGAAAGGAGGTTTCGACAACTTATAAAGCAACCTGGTGGGTCAGACCAATTCACAAGTTGGATCATGAAGAATCTAAGTTTAAACGACACAAATGGGAAGTTGTATTGAGAACTTTAGAGCAAGTTACGTTAGAGTCTATAAACGAGGCGGTAACTGAATAATTTTAAAAAAGTGTAAACGAGATGCTTTTTTGTTTAAAATTTATCAAATTGCCAACATGATTCTTATGGAACAACTAAAATATCCAGTTACAAAATATTTGATAGTGATGGATTTCGCAAATATTTAAAAATTTACTTGAATTAGAATGTCCGAGAAAAATCCAGACGTTCACCTTGGAAATATATTAAACTTACGATTCAGTGTATATAGAAGGCGTTAAATGAAGGCCGCATACTCAAGCTACAGACGTTTATAGGTTTGTATAACAAGTGAGCGACCATTTAATGAGCGAAATCATGATAACAATTAATGGTATTGAAACATGAAGAGATCTTATTCCAATCTACACTAGTCTGCATTTCTGCAAATCCTGCAAATCAAGATCATCAAATTTAAAAACTTCGGCAATTTAAGACTTGATATCTCGACCTCCAATGGTCCAAATTAGTACCGTTAGATTTTTCTAATCTAAACGAATCGAATGGTTTTTACCTTTGTCCAATTTGGACGAGATATCCAGTCTCAAATTACCGAATTATTTAAATTTGATCATAGATCATTTTTACGATATAAATTGCAAAATCGCATCACCATTATGCAAAACACACAAATCACGTTATAAACCATACGGATTCTGCAAATTCTGCATTTGCAGAAAACTGGACACTCACTATTCAACAGGCGACAAAGTGCTTACTTTACAAACTGAATACTTTACATTTTCACTTTAGAATCTCCAAGAATTATTGAACACATCTTGAATTAGAAAAGTGGTGATTAGATGAATATTATAAAGGAAGGATCCACTCAAATGCAATTCACACCAGTCAAACCTTCCAAATTAATTCCACACGAAGGTAAAACTACGGCTAATGTTAACGTTAGTCTTTCATTTATTTCTTTAATTAGTATCTTTTCGATTTAAGTATACCACATGAAATTGAAGAGGATGAGGATATATTGACTGAATTGCAAGAAAATACAAATTCATGATTATAAATGAATGCACTCATTGTTGGGAAAACATTCGTTGCAGTGAATGTTTGGTTCGTAAAACATCTTTTGATTGATGACAACTTGTTCAAAATTTTTTGTGATCGCTGGCTTATGAGTGGCAGAACCACATCATCCAGAACTCGAGACAAACATTTCACTTCCAGGATCATTAAGAAAAAGGAACAGTATTAACAGAGATCTTGAAGTTTAAAAGTTATCCAATTTTTTTTCTCTCAGTTAGTCGATGATGCTACATTTGGAACTGGCTTAGAGAGTTTGGCGAAATGAGTTGGTCAATCTGCTCTTAACGCTGATAAAATTAAATCGAGGTTTCGTTTTTGTTATAACAAGGATTTTAACTTATCATCATATATTTGATACTGATAATTCCGATTTAAAGTATCAAAATTTTTCGAATATCACAGTTTATCCAATTTGGCTCTATATAGTTTACATCAAGTCGAATCTTTACATCAAAATTAATTTTAATTCAACTGACACCGGTATAATTCAAAGATATTATCGTTATTTCATATTAGTTAAAATTTGACACAAATTTGTTCCAAATGAATGTAGATTTACATTATTTTTTACTGACTTCATGGTTTAAGAGAGAATTAAAAATCCAGTGACTCGCAAAAGCAAGAGAAAAATGGCCATTGAAGAATTATCATCGATAAAAAAAGCAGATTACATTCGCTAATGTAATAATGATTTAAGCCAATTTTTATTTGCATCTATCATTTGATCCACAAGCTAACGATTTTTTTAATTTTTTAGCTTTTCATCTAATTTGACCAAATTGGATGAGGAATTCAAAGCCAAAAAGATAAGTATAAAAGCTTCTTTTCATTACACTACCTAAAATCATATTTTCTCACAATTATAAACCGAAATTTCAACAATTTTTTTATTTCAAAATGTCGCTTGAAAA